CTTGTCTATTCCCAGAGGCTGCTTGCCGCGCCCTTGCTCCTTGCTACCAAAGTCACTGCACCCAGAAGTCAGTGTACCACCGACTCCTTTCCTACGACCCATGTGACCCCTACAAGGGCTTCTTCACCGATATCTACAAGATGCCATCTGCCTGCTCCTGACACTTTCTTGCCCAACATGCCACCACAACCCTCCTCAACGAATCGCCTCATCACACACCAACATCGAACACTCCATGGCCTTTTAGGAACCACCAGCATTCCCTGTAAATCCTTAAATCGGAGAAGCCTTCACATGACTGGAGAACTGCTTTCTTCATATACCACCACTAGCCATGCCAGGAACTGCTGGGATGCTCCGACCGCTGATCTGTCTCTCCTTTTCGATTTCCTCTTCACTTCACCCATGTAAGAGATAGATATGAGAAGTCTATTGTAATATTTCATATACATTATATAAATCATTGATGGACTTATTAAATAATTTACGACTCTTTAGCACATAAAAGTTAACCATAAAAACTGAAGATTCTGCATACGTAATATTTCGAAGTATAAAGGTCAGATGGTCTCCGTTGTCAATTCCATTTTCCACACCATATGAATTTATAGTTATAGAAATAATAAGGACAATAGTGATAACTAAAAAAAAAACATTGGTAATAGCAATAATAACAACAGTAAAGTGCTAATGATGATGGCATTAATAATGACACTGATCATGATAATAACAGTAATACTGGCCATATCAATATCTAAAGATGATAATGATGATATTATGGTAACAACACTAATTGAAAAATAATGTGAATGATATTAACATTGATATGAGTTATATTAATAAAAATAACAATGATAATTATTGTGATAACAATGATAAAAGTAACAATAGTAATGCTATTGACAAAAAGAAATAATGATAATAATAAAAAGTATAATAACTATAATAATAATAATGAACCGTATTCATATATATATATATATATATATATATATATATATATATATATATATATATATATATATATATATATATATATATACATATATATATATATATATATATATATATATATATATATATATATATATATATATATATATATATGTATATATATATATATATATATATATATATATATATATATATATATATATATATATATATATATATATATATATATGTCCGTGTGTGTGTGTGTGTGTATGTTTGTGTGTGTGTGTAGAGAAAGAGAGAGAAACAGGATATATGTGAATACATGCATATAAGTGAGTGGAGTGTATATGTGCATATATGTGTATATATATGTATACACACACACACACACACACATATATATATATATATATATATATATATATATATATATATATATATATACATATATATATATATATATATATATATATATATATACATATATAAATACGTGTGTGTGCGTGTGTGTATGTGTACGCATCTATATATATATATATATATATATATATATATATATATATATATATATATATATATATATATATATATATATATATATATATATATATATATATATATATATATACATATATATATATATATATATATATATATATATATATATATATATATATATATATATGTATGTATATATATATATATATATATATATATATATATATATATATATATGTATGTATGTATGTTTATGTATGTGTACATAACGGCATGTGTATGTGTATATATGTATATATATAGCATACATCCTTATATATGAACCATATTCATGTTGACAAATGTAGAAAAGGCAGGAATGAGAATTAATATCTTCACAATACAAGAAATGTATCTGAACGGTTTCGATTATATTACATACATCAAAGGAATTACAGAGTATATATAAATCCTTATATATGTAAATGTATATTCACGCGAACACATACACATGAATGTCTATATATAAGTCTGTGTGTGTGTATACACTATATAAACGCATATCCATATACAGTACGTGTGTATTTTTCATGGCAGTGGTGATGAGGAGGAAGACTCTAATAATGAAAAAGAGCACGATATTAATATAATCATATATAATGATGATTTTTATCGTTATGATAACCATAATTACAGTAATGATAATAATACTTATATATCAGTAGCAGTAATGGTAGCACGATGACAGTAATAATGATAATAACAAAAATAATAAAATTACGATTCTGATAACAATGATGATAGTGCTGAAAACCATACTCCTGTTATTACCATGAATATATAAGTAATATGATTACTAATTATCATTATCACAAAATTACTAACATTACGATTATTATTACAATTGTTAACACGATCACCCTAATTAATAATATCAGTGATTGTGATAAGATGATGAATCAGTGCTGATAAATGTAAGAAAGGTTGTTAGTAATAATGATAGATATATGTAATAATGTGTGTAAAGTGGCGATTCTTTCACGAGCACTGTGATGGCGTGAAATGCGGAAAAGTGGCAGGAGCAAACACGTGACATTTTATAGATGTCGATTTTCTTCATAAGCATGTATATATATATATGTATATGTATATATATTGTATATATATATATATATATATATATATATATATATATATATATATATATATATATATGTATGTGTGTGTGTGTGTGTGTAATCATATACATAAATATATATATTATCGTTTTTTTCTCTCTCATCATATAAGCGGCTGGCTTGTTCTCTTCCGTGTCCTTTCCAAATCAGTGTACTCTTCTGTAATTAGGGCGGTCTGTCCAGAGGGAATGTAGACTACTAGCATGGCGATGGGCGGCAGTTATATCGGCTTTTATGGAGTAAAAGTCACCGCATAATAGCTTGATTACCCTTAGGAGCATGGCGAAATAGCCCGCTTATTCTTGGGAGCAAGGCGACCATGAGGATTGATGAGGTCCTGGCGCTCGCTTGTACCTTCATTGCCTCCATTAAGAGTAATGTTATGCGTCAGAATCATTTCGCTTGTTAGCTGAGAGAAATGTGTTGTGACGGTACTATTAATAATAATTAGTAGAGAAATTAACTAATCGACGTGAATAATAGACAGACAGAGATACACATACATTTAAATATGTGCCTGGTATGTATATATTTATGTGTGAAAGTGAATCAAAAGTGTTATAAGTTTTCTTCTATACCATAGTTCTCCCCATTTACGCCCGTATACACAAAATTAAATACGAAGCGTACATGTACACTTTCTAGGCAAACATATATGTGTATGTGTATGAAAGCATGAATACATATATATACATATATATATGTATATATATGTATATGTATATATACATATGTATACATATATATCAATATATTTACTTAATCATTTATCTCCCTATATATACATATATGTTCATTATACTCTTCATGCGCTTTCAGCAAAGCTTAGAGTCGCGCATCTTCGTACTCCGTGGGTGTGGCCAACGCATATAAACTCGATCATTCCCTTAAACCGAATGGCCAATAGAAGCGTTTTTCGTATCCCTCTGTTTGAGTCGTTATGGCTTTTACATTGGTAGGCTGTAGCAATATTGCCAGTATTGATACTGATACAATAATACTGATATAAACAGTAATGATAGAACCATAATAATTTGCGTTTACAAAATATCAATAACGGCATAGCAAAAAGATATATGTCAATGAATATGTTGATGCAAACAATTGTCATCCTCGTTATGGCCTTCTTATTGTTCATATAGGGAAAATTAACAGTAACAATAAATTGTGAATATAATGTGAATTATAACCCTCAACCATATTTAACGGAATTTAGTCCAAGTGTACTGATAGTGCCCATTACATGATAGAATAAAAGAAATCCATATATTTCAAGCAATTGATGAAATTTTCTCTTCCGGTAATGAATATGATGTTGAAGTCCACAAAGGCACTGGTATATAAAACATTCGTATTGTAGTCAATATATAGGCGTATGTATATATATATATATATATATATATATATGTGTGTGTGTGTGTGTGTGTGTGTGTGTGTGTGTGTGTGTGTGTGTGTGTGTGTGTTCTCTCTTTTTTATTTTTTTTATTCATATAATAGTTTCCAAATGCATACCCACCTGTACACACACACACACACGCAATATATATATATATATATATATATATATATATATATATATAATATATATATATATATATATATATATCTGTGTGTTTGTCTATGTATATGTATATTTATATATATTTATGTATACATACATGTGTATATGTATATATAATTGTATATACAATATGTATATATCAATACATGTAAATATGCGTGTGTGCATATATACTTATATACATACATATGTCTGTGTATATATATACATAGATATGAATACTTATATGTATATATACTGATTTACACATACCCACAAAGCCGCAAACACACATTACATATATATTTAGATCTGCATGTATGTATATATATATATATATATATATATATATATATATATATATATGTGTGTGTGTGTGTGTGTGTGTGTGTGTGTGTGTTTTTGTGTGAGTGAAATGTATACATACATATATTGCATATATACAAACACATATAAACATATATGTGTACTACACATGGACATATCTGTGTGTTGTGTATATATATGCATATATTCGTATATATATATATATATATATATATATATATATATATATATCCACACGTGTTTCCTTGCTCTATCCTATGTTTGAGTGCCAACATTTTTTTTTTTTTTGACTTAACGATGTGGGAAATGCTATCTTTTCGGATTCTTATTCCATTTATTTTTATCTTTACTAAAGTACGAATGAAATACGAAGTGTAAAACTATCACGGGAGAAAGGAAAGGATCTATGATTTAAAAAGAAGTTAATTTCACGGTTCGCTTGTGTTGTGGTGGGGTGGGGGGTAGGGGGATACTGTTCCCTATATAAAGGACGCCCATCATCACGGTCGCTACAGTTTGATACCGAGAGTGAGAGTGCAAACATGGCTTTACGATACTTGGTGAGTTCATACCAAATTAAGAAATACATTTACTAATAAATGTATACATATATGCACACATTTAAGTGTAGGTATGGATATGTTGATACATGGGTACACGAAAATTCATGTATATAACGGATAGAAGTTTCATCAATATGCTAAAATCTTACCATATTCTATGTTGCAGGTCTCGTTGTCTTTGGTGGTCGCAGTTCTAGCCGACCAGACCTCACGCACCAGCATCAGTCTCAGCGGTCCTCCTACTGTCAGCCATCCCCAACCTTCCTACCATCCTGGTCCCGCTTATCAACCTAAACATTCTACTGAGCAAGTACACGAGCCTGCTGTGCCAGAATGTGCTGCCAACACAACCAAATCATGGTGCCTCCAAGACGACCACTATCCCACCTACGAGATCAAACACGCAGCTGAGTATCACTATGAGAAGCTCCTCTCCCTCTATGCTGACGTAGCCGACCTCAACACCGAGTTGTCTGTGGACCGACCAAACACCCTGGATGAGGAAACTTACTTGTGCCCATCAGAGACCGCTTACGTCAGGCCCCTTCGTGCTCAGAATACCGAGGGAAAATGGCGTTTCGTTGTAAACAATATCGATGTCCATTATCAGACTCTCATTCAGACTACACGCATTGAAGAGTGTCTCACTTCCGCCGATGCATGTCCTCTGGTGCCTGACTGCTACGATTCCAAGTGTCAGCAGAAGTCCATCAATCACCGTTTCCTTGTCTACGATTCCTATGATCAGTACTTCCCCTTCGCCATCGAGACATTCAAGCTTCCCGCCACCTGTGCTTGTGTCTTGGCTTGGCCGCCTATACCAACGACCATTATACTTGATCTTGAGCATTAGTGAAGGTAATGGGAAATGAATTCAAAAATATTTTAACATCCTCAGCGACCTGTAAACAATGTATAAAGTTCGTAGAAAGCAGTTTTCTAGTCATCTATTTGTGATATGTACAGAAATGATGAGAACTGATTATAAATGACGCCTAAGTCCATATCTTTTGTGAAACAAAAATAAATGTCTACATAGTCAATATTTACGTATTTTCTTTCCTTCAAAATTATGTTTTTGCATATCTATGTATATATGTATATATATATATATATATATATATATATATATATATATATATATGTGCATATATAACATATAAACATAGACACATACATATACACAAATATATATTATTATATGGCTATATATATGCATATATATTCATATATATGTATATATTTGTGTACAGACATACGTGTTCTTATATATAGATGTATAAGTATGTATATATATAAGCTTGTCTATATCTATCTATATATATACATGTATATGCATATATAGAGAGAAACAGTTGATATGTGTATAGATGCAAATAAGTGTGTATCTAAATATTTTCCGCATGCATATATAAGGAATATATGTATATCTATCTATATATAGTATACATACATACATTATGGTGATAATCATTATTATCACCATAATCATAATCATTACCATACCATTAGCATTTTTCATTATCATAATTGTTATCGCTATTCTCATTCTGTCATAGTTCTTTTTATTATTTCTCTCTGCAATATTATTATTTTCTACATTGTTATGACAATAATGGTCCTTTATTTTTTTTATTTTTTTGTTATGGTAATCGTTGCTATTCTCGCTATTATCATTTATCATCTCCAGTGCTATCATTTCTATTAATGTAATTGTTATGACGGTAATACTTTTTTACAGGCACCACCTTGGTCATTCTCCTTAGCATTATTCTTAATATCTTACAGAACAGTTATACAGTTTTCGCACCCCTTGAATTATCACCATTCATTATATTGTTGCCATTGGCTTACTATAGATATTAATCTAGCACTGTTGGGTAAATATCGCCAGGGAAAGTCAGCACATTTTCGCCAAACTTTAACATATGTATTAATGTGTAGAGTGGCGATTCTTTAAGAAGGAGCACTGTCATGGCGTGTCATGCGGAATGGTGGCAGGAGCAAGATGGCATCTTGTATATGCCGCAAGCTTTTTTTCTTTTCAAACACACACACACACACGCACACACACACACACACACAAATATATATATATATATATATATATATATATATATATATATATATATATATTAACGTTTCTTCTCTCACCTTCAACAACGGAGTCACTTAAGCAACTGGCATATTCTCTTCCGTGTCCTTTCCAAAGCATTATAGTTCCACTGTACATGTCTCTGCCTTTATGAAGTAAAGGAAACCGCATAATAGCTCGATTACCCTTACGAGCATGGCGAAATAGCCCGCTTGGTCGTGCCTCCTTTGCCTCCGTTAGGAGTAATGTCGTACGTTAATAGCTGTACCATTATAGCACCATTCTGTACGGTTTAATAAATGACGAAAAACTAACAAAATCAACATAGTACATGAATAATAGATTGGGATATAAGTGTGTGAAATTCAATAAAAAAGTATTATAAGCTTAATTCTGTACTTAATTTTACGCATTTGCACCCCCGTAAATAAAACTGAATAAATGCTGATGTGTGCATGGGAACGTTTCTCGGCAGTTATGTTATTTATATAAAGATACAGTATGTGTGTGTGAATGTATCAATACATATATATGTACATGCAATTATATATAGAAATGTGTATATGTATATATTTACATATTTACATCTATATGTACACTTTTCATTACCTTTCACGTAGATCAAACCTTGGAGCCACGCATCTTCGTATTGGGTGGGCGTGGCCAAAGCATACCTGGAGTATATAAGCTCGATAATGATGAATGGCCAACAGTAGAAGCGATTCTCGTATCTATCTTCTCATTTCACCATGGTTCTTACGTTGGTAGGTTGTGACAATACTTAGTATTATCTGAGGAATTTACACTTTACGAAAAGTTTGTATTATTTAATCGTTAATCTTTGCCTTCCAGTCGGTCGTTCTGGCATGCGCCGGACTTGTTCTGGGCTCTGTTCATCCGCCAGCTTATGGCCACCACCCACAGCCCGCTTACGGTCATCATGCGCCTGCTTACGGTCATCATGCACCTGCTTACGGTCATCATGCACCTACGTACGGCCACCAGCATTCTTACGACCACAGTTACTGCGACCCAACGGTTGCCCCCGCATGCGCCGACAACTCCACTCTCTCCTACTGCTTGGAAGACGCTGAGTATCCCGAGTACGAGATCAAGGCTGCCATCACTGCCGATCACCTCTTCGCCAAGAAGTACGCTGACGTAGCCGACCAGTCTGCTGATGACCTGGTAGACATGGTTACTAAGGATCAGGAGGAGGCCTTCGAATACTCTTACTACACTGGAGCCTCCACTGGGGACTCTCCCTACGATGCCACTCACTGGGCTGGTCCTGAGGGTTACATCTGTCCCTCCGAAGTGGTGTATGCCATGCCCAAACGTGCCCAGAACGTGGATGGCAAGTGGCGCGTCATTGTCAACGACGTTCATTATTACAGCCAAACTGCTCGCCTCGAGACTTGTCTATTCCCAGAGGCTGCTTGCCGCGCCCTTGCTCCTTGCTACCAGAGCCACTGCACCCAGAAGTCAGTGTACCACCGACTCCTCTCCTATGACCCATGTGATCCCTACTTGGGCCTCTTCATCGACACCTACAAGATGCCATCTGCTTGTTCCTGCCATCTTCCCGCTTAACACGCCACCACAACGCTCCTCAACGAATCGCCCCTTCGCACACCATCTAACACTGCATGACCACCAAAGAACCGACAATCTCTGTTAGCCCTTCAAGCGAAGAACGCCCTACGCGCCAAGAGAACTGCTTTCTTCACATACCGCCACTAGTCATGCCAGGAACAACCGGTATGCTCTCGCCGATACTCCACTCCCTTCTTCAGTCATGTAAAAGATAGAAGTGTTTTTTTCATTTTAATATTTTTTATAAACGGATAATTACTCAACATCTACATTTTCATACTCCTTTACGCATATTTATTGACCATGTTAAGTATGTCGATAGAAAAATAAACAAGAAATATTTATAGCACTAATTGGACTGATAATATTTGTAATGATTATGTCAGTAATAGCAATAATGATGATAATAATAGCAAAAGGATCGATAATTATGATAATCATAAGAATATTAATTAGGAGATCCAGCTTTTTCACTTGGATTTTTAAGGAGGCGTGTATTAACGTACATGTCAAGACATTAGAAATACATAGGCGCAAAAAAGGAAAACTGAACAATTATGCATTGAACTTATTAACTGGGATCAAAAAAAAAAAAAAAAAAAAAAAATATATATATATATATATACATATATATATATATATATATATATATATATATATATATATACATATATATATATATATATATATATATATATATATATATATATATATATAAGCAGTTTCATAGTGAATCCTTACATAGAGGGGTTCTCATACACAGCGAATACTTTTAAGAATATACGAGAGTGAAAGCATAGCTTTACGAACATAATATGTTCTGATTTCAATTTCCAATATTAATGAAAGGTTTTCTCCTAGGCCAGCAAACAATTTAGTATTTACATTCATCATTGTTACTATTACGAAGAATCCTTTTCTACGAAAATTATAATTTACAGATAATGTTTGTGTACCTACGCGAAATTTTCAAAACATTAACAAATGCCATATTCAAGAGTAAAGTAAGAGCACAATTATGTTACTAGGAAAATGGAAACTGATGAACAAGGAAAGAGGAACCGAAGTTCGAAAAGAGAAAAGGAGACGGAAGAACTAGTTGCTGGCTACCTAGCGAAAATGAAATATTAATATGAGAAGGACGTAACCCTTTGCTGGTCATAATTATCGGCGATTTTGTGTCATGGGACAAGTCTATCGTATTGTAATATTAGAATGGGAGTACTTGGCCTGTGCAATTATCTATATCTTGTTCATTTATTCTTATTGTTATTTTTAATGGTCTCCCCGGATAACTTAGTTTACGTAGTTATTGATATTTCCATCTCCATTTCTCGTACTATCAGTCCTAAAGATAAATCCAATATGCGAAGCTAAGCCTCACCCGGGTAACGCCCATGAGGGGAGTCCGGCCTGTGTCGACTAATGTCGACTAGCTAATGTGGCAGCTGGTGCTGACTCGGCTGAGCTTAGTCCTTACCCGCTCTCGGATGCTGACTCGGCTGAGCTTAGTCCTTACCCGCTCTCGGATGAGAGGTCGATACGTTGGTATTGATCTATCCTGGAGGCTCTAACGGTCTTTCTAGGTACACTGGCTTAATAGCTGCTACTGCTGACCTGAAGGAAGGAGAATAGGCCCACAAGAGCACACACTCCTCAGTAATTAGGATAAAAATAATGATAAGGAATAACAATATGATTAATATTAATAACTGTGATATTAAAAAGAAATAACATGATAATGGTGGTGATGACGAACGTGATAATTATAACATAATGTTAAGGAAATTATTAGGACCTTAATAACAATAATAAGAATAATCCTAAGAATAATAGAACCTAATATTTTACTTTTACGAAATTACATATATATTATATATACACATACACACACACACAAATACACACACAGACATATATAAATATATATATATATATATATATATATATATATACATATATATATATATATATACATATATATATATGTATATATATATACAGGGCCGGATTATCCTATAAGCTAGTATAGGCTGCAGCTTATAAAAAAAAATCACTACGGCTGTGTTGAAATATAGTAAAAAAGTGGTATTTAAATATTTTTTATTGACAAACAAAAGATAGCTATGCTAGTTTATTTAAAGAATTTGCAAGAAGTTTAC